TGTAGTAGATGGATCGTGGATTATATATATATACATATATATATATATATATAAATTCAATTAAATTTTTCTAGGTTTAAATTTTTTTCTGAGTGGAAAGCTTAAAGTTTTTTTTTTTTTCCTTTGAGTATTTCCTGAATTTTTTAAATTTCCTGAGTTTCTCAGGTTTTCCTTAGGCACATGAGCTTTAAATAGAAAATGCTTTGATGTGTCAAATAATAATTATTCAATTTTTTATAAGTGACATCCATAGTTTTTAAATGCTTTCTGTTGATGCTGGAACTAAAATCCATTTAAATTACAGAAAACCAATAGTTTGGCATAGGGTGTAAACAATTCTTTTTTAAAAAATCAAAACTATTGAACTGTAATTGCAATTAGAAAAAAAGGTACAACAAATTTCAATATTGGATAAAACATACTTCTTTCCGCAAAGCTGACAATTCTTCACGCTCCTTACGAGAGAAATTTTCTTTCTGTGATTTTTTCAATCGTTGAAAACTTTCCCTTTCTCTCCTAAAAAATTTCAGCAAATCTTAGTTTTATAAATGAGAATCTTTGAGGAATACTTAAATTAAATTTGACAATAAAAATTAGATGAACTAACTGGACACTGTTACTTTAAGTTACGTTACAAATTACAATATACTTAAAAATCTTACAACTTTAAATATTCTGATAAAAAGTTTGTCCTGCGTGCTGCATCAGAAGAGATAAAATATTTTTTAGCAAAGAGAGAAAGCAATGCTGTAGAATTATGCAATAGCTATTTTTACCAATACATATAAATACATAACTCGTAAAAATATGACTATTTTCCTACCTAAATGTTGATCGAAATCACACTAGAGTAGTGGAGGAGGATAAATAATAAAAAAGAAAATTTTCTAAGAAAATCAAAAATATTTAATGAAACGAAAATGTTACACTATTTAATTAAGTATAACACAAATGTATAAAACAGATTCCTTTTTTTTCAACACTCTAAATATTTTTAATTCAATGTGAAAATCACTGCTCTAAAAATACACAATACTTCAGAAATCTTGTTTCAAAATGAAAAAATTCTAATCTACATTAAAATTCAAATTTGGAAGGAACATATTAACATGTGAATAAAATGCAATATTTTGTAAGTTTATTTTTTCGGTCTGCTAAACTTAACGAGAAAAATAAAGTTATTAGTCATATGTTACAGCGAAATGCATCACATGCAACTTAATTTTTAGAAAAATATTGCAGAACGTCAAGGTACTACTGAGTTACAACAAAATTATAGTCATTAAAATTGCCTTCCATTAAAGTGTTTCATTAGGAATCATGTAAAATATTTAATAGTATCTAATCAATTACGTTTGATGATTAGAATTTTTTTGACATGTATAACTAATTTTTAATATATCAAATTTCAATTCAATTTTAAATATATCAAATTTAGTAAAATATCCTCCTTAATTTATATAAAGAAAATAAAGGAGAAGCTTAAAAAGTAAAATAAAGCTATAAGTTGAATTTTAATAAGGCTTAAAATGTTAGCAGTTGGAATAAAAGTAATATATTGAAAAATAGAAGATTACAGTGTAAATAGTTAAAGGAAATTTGAACTCACATTCTAAATTCAGTACCATATTGTGATAGTAAATGTCAAATTTACATGCTTCACAAAAATATTATGTTGCGAGTAGTTAAAGAAAAAAAGATGCTAACATGTCAAGAAGATATAGCCTAATTGTGTAGCATAAATAACTGAAGGAAAATTATAGATAAAGTAGCTACTTGTATGATTAATACTCAAACACACAACTAAGTTATATGCTATCCTTATACAGATTTTTTCCTTGAAAAATTACTTTTTTAGAAAATACTTACAAACATACAAATTTATAGTAAATATGAGATATTTTTAATTCTTTTTGAAAAATTCTGAAATTAACATAAATATTTGACAAGTCTATCAAAAAATTGGGAACTAACTGGCAAAAGACTTAAAATGCAACTAATTAACATACTGCATACACAAATTAACAATGATAATATTGACAAATTACTTCATTTGTTGCCTTGCTTTTTCAACTTCTTCATCAACTTTTTTCATCTGCTCAGTTTTATACTTTTCTATGTCATTATATTCTTTATTCAATTTTCTTGAAACCTTTATTTAAAGCCAAATACATTTACTATTAATAATAAAATAGAAAAATAAACATTTACTAGAATTTATTAATTCAATTAATACAATTAGACAATTGGTTCAATGTTATCAGATTAAATAGAAGAAAATGTGACCTGAATACAAAGAATAAATAGTCTATTATTGAATAGTCAAAGAATAGTCTACTAAAAGTTCATAATTGCATATTCATAATAACTACGATGCACATTAGGATATATAAACCTAAAAAATATACATATTTATATAGGTAAGTGCAATTCTCCATCAAGAGATATTTCCTGTGACCGATTTCAATGTGGTTGACACTCATGTTTTAAATGTACAGCTACAATTCGGCATAAGTCACTAACTCAAAGCATAGACCATATTAACAGCTTATATACATATACAGCTTATAAACATAGACCATATTACAAAAAAAAGAAGAAAGATAAGTATTTTAACAAGGATAGTGGTTTGAAATAGAAAAGAGTGTAAGAATATACGATATTGAGATTATCATAGTTATCACTAAAGTAGAGAAGAACCAATTTCGCTTGTATGTGAAAAAATAAAGATTCGGTTTCAAATTTTAAGCAAGTTAATCAAATTGAGTGGTCGGTTCATAAACTTAGGAAATATATAGGGAAATAAGATCCCTTAAAAATTTCAGCCTTTCTAGAATATTTAAAGCCTACCTAAAGTTTTTGAATGTTTATAAGAGTTTTTTTAAAGCATTCTGTAATTATATTTTAAATTCATAGAATTGTAAAAAGTACTTATTCTATCCCTTAATATCTAGATATTATAATACAACTGTTAAATTGCTACAATTGTACAATTGCTACAATTGTTAAATATTTATGTACCTCAAAACTTAATAGGTGGGACAGTGAATGTCAATGTATCACAGAAAGAAATAATGTTAACATTGAAGTGAGCAGTCCCTTAAAATGACTTTTATTGCTACAATTATCCTGGATTATTTTTTCAGATTGACTATGATTTTGAATAAATTTTAAAGTACAGTAGAGTCCCGATTATCCACTTTTACTGAGTTATCAAATATTTCAAATATTTTTTTTTGGTTCTTTTCTTTTTATTTTCAAAACTACCGCTGACAAAAATTCTGAATTACATCTTCCAAACACTCAGGAAAACAAGCTGACAACCGATGAAATGATTGTTAATATCGTCAATAATGAAAATGAATCTAGCACAAATGATGGAGACAGTGATAATGAAAATCAACATATAAAAATCTCTCATATAAATGAACTGAAAGCTATTGAAAGTGCTATTGAATATATAGAACAAGAGGCCACCACCAGCCTTCCTGTTATCTCCCCCCCCCAAAAAAAGGCAAAACATTGCTGCAGAGAAGCGCTAAAGTAATGTAAAACAAAAAAACGATTAAGGACCTTTTTAAGTAAAAACTCTTTCATTGTCGTAAAGTATGCTCTTTAAGTGTTTTTAAGTAAGCTTTTTAATAATAATATGAATTTTATGTGATGTACTCGTATAAATTTTGTAGTTTTTAAATATATTACATTTACAGGGGGTAATTGTGAGTCTAACTCAAAAATCCTGAAACTCTCTTGAGTAAAATCATTCAAAAAATTAATATCTTTATAAATTTAAATCATTGAAATTTTCAAAACATGATATTCTAAACTAGGGGTGCACAACCTTTTTGAGTGAAGGGCCACTTGCACAGCAGGTTGGCTAACGAAGGGCCGCACATGTATTTAGACATGTTAATGGCAAATGTAATAATGTTTATTTAAGCATTATCGTTCCATTTTTTTTATTAATAAACTTAGTAATATCAATAAATTAGCAGTGTTCCATTATCAGAATTCATTCTAAAATAAAAAAACTTATATTTTTTTTTTTTTTTTTTTTTTTTTTAAATTGCTACTTTANCTTTTATCTCTAATCACATTTATTATTTTACCAGAAAAATATTTACAAATGTAAGAGATGTCAAGTATAAATTCTAGTTCTAATATTTTTTAATAAAATATACAAGAATTTTTATATATAAATGTGATCGACAATTCCTTGAAACTTCTGGACTTTAGATTTCCGGAAACTTTCGGATCGAGGTTAGCGAAAAATCCGGAACACAATCACATCTGCATTTATACCTACTCTTTTTCTTTCCTTTTTTATACTCTTCGCTTTAACCAAGTTTTCGGTTATACGAGTTAGTCGTGTTCCATATTAACTCGGATAATCGGGACTCTACTGTAGTTGGAAAAAGGATCCAACAAATTTAAGTCCTAAACTAGGTAAACAGAGCAAATAGTTATTAAAACTTACAAGCATGCTTAATAAAGAAATATTTACCTCATCTCTTTCCTTACACCTTTTTTCTAATTGAGCATTATATTCCTTGTAGATCGCAATCTCATTCTCCAACTGAACAATTTTTTGTTTCATTATTTCTTTAATTTCATTTTGTTGAAGGTTATCAGAATTATGTTTATCACATAAAGCATCCTAAAACATGAAATACGTTTCCTATGAGTGTTTTAATACAATATTTGTTAAAGAAATGAATCAAAGTGCTGAAATTTAAGTCACTTTTATATTAAAAAGAAGTTGAATGACTATGACATGATTATATTTGAATTGGCCAATTTGTAAGGTTATTTTCAAATAGAGATTACCTGTTGTCACTCTTATTAATTAAATTTCCAATAAGCAGTTTTCCAGAGACAACAGCAAGAACAAACATGATATATATTGGGTATAAATGAACAGTATTATATTTATTAAGATTGAAAATAAAGTATCAAAAATTTTACTAAAACATGCCATACCATAGTTGTGAACTCTTAACATTTTGGTTGCTTATGTTATTTATCCAGGTACTCAAATAGTGATTAAAGTATATAGAAACTCTTCAAAATCTTAATTTTAAATTTGGAACAAGGAAATTACAACGGATTCTTTATAATTAAATTCAAAGAGGTAAAATTCAAAATTAAATTCAAAGTAAGTAAATTTGAATGATCGTAATTTTTTAAAAAATAATAATAAACACCGTTAAGTTTAACAATTCTACAATAAAGAGCTTAGCAAAATATAAGATTTACAATAAAATTTCCTTAAATTTAACGGTATTTCGTTACATTAAATTTGTATTGCATAAATAATTTCAGTTTCTTTATAATTCAATTCAAAGAGGTAAAATTCAAAATTAAATTCAAAGTAAGTAAATTTGAATGATCCCATACGTAATTTTTTTTTAAAAATAATAATAAACACCGTTAAGTTTAACAATTCTACAATAAAGAGCTTAGCAAAATATTTATTTACAATAAAATTTCCGTAAATTTAACGGTATTTCATTACATTAAATTTGTATTGCATAAATAATTTCAGTTTCCCCTAACATACTCTTGTTCTGCATCATGCTTCCTTTATCTAAATTTAAACAGAAAAAGCATTTCACAAAATTAAAAGATTGACAAGTAAAGTTAATAATTTAGAGATTCTAATTTGGAGCATATTAATTAAGTTCATGATATATGTGCACAAACACACACATAAATAAAAATAAATAATACAGTCAGTGCTCCATATAACAGCCTTTGTCATCCAACCAAAAATAGATACAAGAAGATGGCTCACTAAACTCTTCCTTTATTATAATGTTTAATGTGGAGCAATGTGTGTTGGTTTTACTTATTTCTCTGAAACTTTTGCTTGCTATTAAGTAGCTAATTTTCAATAGAATCCTTCGGTTTGGAAAATACGAAAATGCTCAACACTAGTTTTCAGCGATTTTCTAGCAAAAGAAAAAAAAAGGAGAAAGAAAAACTAAACTTGGTAACCATAATTGAAATTTACAGCTTGCCAGACCTTCAAATGGAAGGGTCACAGTAATGGGGATTAGCGCCATAGTAAAGAATGCAGACTGTATGCAAATATAGGGTGTTCCGTAAAGACTGCCTGTAATATGCATTTTAGAATCTTAATCTAAAATGTAAACAAGAAAATATGCACATTGTGAGTTGCAAATTATGCAATCAAGAAAAAACAAACTTCTGCAATTTGTCAGATATCAATAATAGTTACTAAATTATTGTTTTTCGCTCGATTAAATATTAATTTGCGATCCCATACATATGCTTTTTTATTTTTAAAAAGGATACTAAAAATACATTCGAAGGGTGGTTTTCACGGAACACTCGGCGTGTATATATGATTACATTTGGCATTTACATTAAGAATGTTAGTATTTCAAAATAAAATTGTTTATTATTTCATACCTAATATTTTCATAAATATTTCATTTAGATAGATAGGATTTATTCTAATATGATTTAGATTATTTTAAAACTAAAATGGAATCATTTATTAAAATAGAGTTGATGACAAGGAAGTGCCACAGTCTAATCATTAAAAGTCATAATTAGTTACATAAAAGTGCCTTATGTTAATTTGAAACATATGCAATAAAATTACATAAATACAGTGATGTCGTATAATTTATTGAATATGACAAACAATTTAGCTAATTGTTGATATCTGGAGCTAAGGGTAAATTTCTTGGAAATTAACCATGATTTCTAGTGGTATTAACAAATTCTCTGCGAATTCCAGGTTTTCCAGGTCATTCAGGTCAGAGGCCATCCTGAACGAAAAAAATTGGGTGAAGAACTTTTTCAAACAAAAATAAGTATGTTTTTATAAGGAAAAGAAAATACCTAGAACTAACCAATATAAGATTTTAAATTATGATTAGACATTAATAAAACTTTGCATACATTTCCTTCATTATTTGTTTTCTTTTAAATAAATAATAAAATAAGTATGCCAGGCAGAAAATTTGATAAACCAATATTTAGATTTTTAAAACAAAAGCTACGAAAGAAGAAATAGATAATACATTGTGTTCACTTTCATACTCTCAAAATATTGTAATAAATTTCAATATTGCATATTTTATAACCATATTAATTATCGGCTAATTATCAAACATAATACATTGAAAAATTCATTTTCATAACCTTAATCAAAAGGAGCAATTTTGGTAGAGTTTATAAATAACATTTAATTATTAAAACAACTGTTAAAGAAAGTTTTTGTTCATATTTACATGCAAATTTTCCAAATTCTTTCAATTATTTAGAAAGAATGATGACAGATAGCATTCTTATAAAAAATTCTTTAAATAATAAAGAAAACAAACCTCTTTTTCAACAAGTTGGAAAGAGTCTCTCAACAGATCAGTAGCTTCTGAAAAATGCAAGTATTTCAAACTTTAAACAAGTACATTTATAAATAAATAATAATTAAAAAAAACTTTATCAATACCTTTTGTTTTAAGTTTTAGATCCTGTTGATTTTCCCCATGTTTGTTATCAACATTTACGTTTGCACATAAAGGATAACTTAACTCTGGGGGTACATTAACTGGAGTGCTACATCTTTCATTATCAAAATTTTCATTATCTAAAATATCTTCATGCTTAGACGTTACTTCTTTTTGCAAATTATCTATTCTTCGTATATTATCAGATATTATAGCATTAATATTTTCTTTTTTCTTTTCTTGAACTTCATTGTTTTCCACTTGCTTTCTTGCAGCATCACCACTTTCCATTTGCTCCTTGATGTTCCCCTTACTTTCTGATAGCTTTCTTCTTGCAAGAGCTAAACCTCGAAATTTTGAGACATTAATATTGTTGAATAGTGATTTAAAAGGACTTGTATCTGAATGTTGCTGCTGTCTAAAAATAAATAAAATCTTATTAAAATAGGCAAAATCTTATAATTAGAAACAAATAATATGATGCATAATGAATAATAACTTAATATTTTTCTCTCACTGTGAATAAAATGTTATCAAAATGGGCTGAAAAAACTTAGTTTATTAAATCATACCAATATAAAGTTGACCCAAATGAAATGAGTAATAGATTATTCTTCGTATCGAATTAAATTTAGTAGAACTAAATTATTTTATATGAAAACGACATTAGATACTGTAATTAAAAATAGTCCTTAGGAAAAGAATTTTATCGCCAACAAAAATGGAATTCTTTTTTGCAATCCCAGTATATAAGAATACAAAACATGATCATTTAAATAGAGGATTCCTAATTTCATGCACTACCTCAGAGAATTTAAAAAGTTCCTTGTTATTTGAGAGGATGTGCATTTATTTAATTTTAATATAAACAATTAAACGGCATGAGAAAAAAAATATGCGCACAGGAAGAAGCAAATTTTTAGAAAAGAAAAAAAAGCAAAAACATGATGTGAAATACAAAAATTTAGAATATAAAAAGTGTGTTTGAAAAACAATTCAGAAAACTATTACTAATAATATTTTACAGTAAATTATTTAAACGTTCAATATAAAGATTGTTATATTACTAATTGATCGATAGGTTACAAGATGTATCAATTAAAAAATTTTCAAATAATCTCAGAATAATAAAATTTTAAAAGAAAGTTCTAATTAATTTAGATTATACTACTATATAAAAATAAAACTATAGATATATACGTTAAAAGACTCAGGTTGCAAAACTGACTACAGTTTGACTGACAACATAACTTTTTGAACATAAACTTTAAGAAAAACAATTAGTGAATGACCCTCTAATAACCAAATGAAAAATCTGATTAGCCTGCACTTGACCTCAATCTTTATCAATCCATGGATTTAAAGCTGTATTTGATTAATTTTTAAGCATGTTTAAAAATATGAGAACATAAATTTATGACAATGTGGTTATTTTTCAACTAAATATTTTATTTTCAACAAAAAATTTCAAATAACAAAAATAGATAATTGTTTAAAAAAAAAATTGGAAGTGATAAAAAGGAGGAAAATCATAAATCCGAGCAATAATTATGAAAAACATTAACTCGGCATTTAAAAGAGACATTTAGCAGTTTCCATATCAAGCTCCGCAATCAATTCCAAGAGTAAGAAAGTTAAAAGAACCTTAGGTCTTAGTGTGGATGTCCCATTGTGTTTTAAAATTTGGGAATAGATGTGTTTTTTTTTAATAATTAACTACGTGTTTTATAGTATATTATCAACAAAAAAAAAAGTTTTCATTATTTAGAAATTAAATATTATATTATTTAAATTAGGTATTTCGAAAACAAAATAAATAAAACATTAATTTCAAAATAAAAAAAAACTTGTTTTATAATGAAAAGAATTGAAATTTAAATTAAGACCATTATGGATTCAATAATAACTTTGGAATTAATAACTAAAAACAAAGAGCTTGAAATAAAGCAGACTCAGAAAAACCAATGGTGTTTGAAACACATTTTTATATGCCCTTCAAAAGAGGAAATCTCTTTCATAATTACTCCGATAATAAAATAAGAATAGACTTTGTCAGAGTAGATGATGAGAAAATTTTACAACAGACGAAGTCTAGGACAAGGTATCTATCATACAATAGAAAGCCAATATTATGCAAATATTTATTACTATCTATTTTGTTTGGTATGCATATTGTAGTTAAGTAAAATAATTAAAATTTTAAAAAAAAAAAACAATACTTTGCATTATAATTGTGTTCACAAAATAAATCTCATTCAAATGAAGGGCTTAAAACAAAAATTTAAGCGCTTGACAATTGAAAATTTCAGTCAATTAGAAACAAAAATAAATAAATAAAAAATAAAACAATTTTAATATATTTACTTTGTATAAATAAGTTAAAGAAAATTGAGTGAGAGTGATCAACTTTTGCAGATAAAACTTAATATGAAATTATGACAAATGTTGCTAATTAATTTAAAAACTTTAAATATACATAAATAAATATATGCATATGCCAATTATATTATACAGTCAAAAACTTACAATCCAGCGTTGTCAGGTTTATTGGATACCTGAAAAAGAAAAGAAAAAACAATTATATGAATTTAGGTAACAAAATCAACATCATTCAGTTTAGATTACATTAACAATACAAATTAATTCAGAAAATTAAATCTAAACATTAATTAGAACGGGAATGGTTATAACTCATTCAACAAGACACTTTATCGTATATTGTCTATACACTTGGAAAAAAGGTTATAATTTAAATATAGCTGAAATAGAAAAGTTATTTTTTTCTTTTAACACATTTTGTAACGTGTCTTTAAATATATGAGTCAAAAACAAAATTGAGTAGACAACAAAAATAGGACTAGAATGGATTTGAAATAGTGATGAACACTGTGACAATTTATAGAATTCTTTTATTCTGCAAAAATAATTCCAAACTTTGTTAACTCCTTCTTTATCAGAATTGCATCTCATAGGTTCAGCATTTTTGTGTTTGTATGGTCAGCGCTGCATGCCATGAGATAAAGAGAAAAATTGCATCGTTGAAATCAAATTGGTTGCTACTTACACGTCTCTTTAAATCCTGCAATTATTTTCGTATTTCTGAGCATTGCTAAGAGCCCTATTTTGTTCACAATTTTCACAGTGAGATTTCTAGCCTTGATTTGAAATCAAAGTAATTTTGTACTTTCTGTAATTTCGCTTTCATTAGTGTTACCATTGCATGTCAAAATAGTTATAATGTATAAGGTTGGAAAACTATTTTGTTTGGAAAATTATTAAGAAAAGGTTTTCCAAAATATTTTTTACCTGATTCTAATAATAAATTTATGCAAATATTTATCTTAAACATCTTAAAACAGTAGAATTAATAAATATATTATCACAGTGTATTTTTTTAAGATAAAACTTGGGATGCATTGCTGGGAAAACTGGAGATCAGTGGACCGGATATCACATATTTCCCCACGAATAGGTCAAGCAAAAAACTGCTTGCTAACAAAAATATTCTACATTTTCGAATTTAGGAAAGGATATATATTAATTTTCAGCTATAAAAAAAAGCCTTTTTTGGATCGGAAATTCGAAAAACAAATCCGACAGGGAAGGGTTAAAAAGAAAATACTTAAGAATTAGAAGAATTAAAAGAATATTTTACTCACAAGACGCTCTCCTTTCACAACACGCTGCACAAGAGAAGAATCACTATTAAATGAACTTTCCTGAACACGTTTCTCTAACGTTTCAAACTCAGCAAGGCTTTCTTGACTCTAGAAATAAAATTAACAAAATCAAGGTTAAAAAAAAAAAAAAAAATGCTTAAAAATTAGTTATTTACAGCAGAACCTCCTTTATCGACCAAATTTTAAGGCATAATATGGCATGGCAAATAATATAGCATGGCAAATTTTAAGGCACTAAATAAATATTTCTTTTAATCATAAAAATTGTGCAAAGGAAATACTATTTACAATTCACACAATTTTGTTATAATTTCTATGAAGTCAAAAGTCATGTAAATAAAAACATAATACTGATATTATGTAAAAAGTTACAAGATCAAAATAAATCCAGAGCACACGTGAAAACGAAATTTGTAGCCGGAGTTAAGTAAATGCCAGCCAGTACATACCTTTTTCCATTACCACACATGAAATGACACGTAGTGTTATCATTTTTGAGCAATAGTATAATCCAACCAATCTTAAATATAATTGCTCAAGTAAATCCCATGTATTCTTTCCAAAACGAATTTAGAACAGTCAAAATAATAGTTCTAATTTTCACAATTAAAAAAAGAACGGGAGAAAAAAAAATAAGATTAAATAATTGTGAAGACAAATCATTAAATTAGAAATTTCAATTTTGATACAGAATCATCATTACACTGCTAGAAAATAACTGCATACAGAAATTATTCAAAAAAGATAAAAAGAAATAATTAAAATTTTTCTATGAAAAACTTACTTTTTTTTGTTAATTTCTGAAAAAATTTCTTCAAGTATAGTTTATATAGAAATGCAATAGTTATAGCAAAATTATATATTAACACTTTGTTTATCAGCAATTTTACACAGAAATTATATCCAGGGGTCTGTCTAGGTTCTTCTGAGAGGTACCTATTTTGTGAAAATTTCGACATAATTTGTGAAAATTTAAAAATTATATTAAAAAATCCACACAAAAATATGAATTTGTCGTTTCTTAAGGGATACAAAAATAAAATTCCAAGAAAAATTATTTTGTGAAACTACCATTTTTCCTAATGTTGAATTTGTGAAACTACCGTTTTTCCTAAAGTTGAATTTGTGAAGGTACCGCTAAACTGTAGTAAATTCGGCCTGGACAGACTTTTTTAAAATTGAAATGCAGTTTTTTCTTTGAAACAACCAAAATCTAAAGTTGACAAAAATCATGATTTTATTTTTAAAAAAAAATCTGATTTTTTTTTAAAAATTATTATTTCTTTTTATTTAAAACTATAATCAAATTTATATTTTCACATATAACAATAAAATTTCTAATAAAATACATTAATAACGCTTAATAACATATATAACTAGAGTAATTAATATTTTTAACTAAAATGCTTAAAACAATTCTACAATTATTACAGAAAATTAAATCACAGTTTCTTTTTTCTTCAAGCATTATGTTTTTACGTATTTATAAAGAAAAAGATCCTATTGTTAGTTAGATAGCAGATAAAGAATAAATTAATTTCGATCAGAAAAGATTAAAAAATCAATCAATCTTAACTACTCTTGTCAGAACAAGTTTTTATTCATCATTTATATATATATAATCCAAGTTTAATAAGTTTTAAAAGTATTTGTAGTTACATAAATATAAAACTGAATTAGTATGATAGAAATATGTTTAATAAATTATTTTACATGCAGCTAAAGGAAAGATACAATTTAAGAGTTACTTACAGTGATTTCATCATAGAAAAAAAAATGGGTGAGAATTTCTCACCCTTTCTCAAAAACAGGGTGAGATTTCAGAAAGTTAAGTGAGATTTCTAAAAACTAAAAAAACACATAAACTCTTGAAAAAGAATCATTTCTTTAATTATAATGCATTTTTAACGTCTTCTATTTTTTAAAGCATTGAATATTTTTGGTGCATCATCATAGAAGATTTCGCCTTTACAAGGTATTTGTCCATCTTACATAAGTGCATAAAGAATTTGAACATCTTACATGAAGAAACCTTACCTATGGTAAACAGAGAAATGTGTTCTTCTTGCAGAGAAATGTGTTCTGAAAGGCGTTCCGTGGTTGTGTTCTGTTGTTCGAAAAGGTTCTGAACAATACTGGTAAATAGGGAAGCTAGATAATGGTGCAGATGTTGAAAATAATGATAGATCCAGGAAGAAAAGTGAAACGGATTTTATTCTAAATGGCGTAATTCGAAGCTTTTTCCAAAATGCGAGAAATTGGCGAATTTTGAAATTGATTTATAGAATGCGCGAATTTCTCACGGTAATCATCTTTCAATGCGAGAAAAGAAAAAAATATGCGAGATTCTCGCGTTCTCGCGCTGTAGTGAAAACACTGACTTAGTTATCCCTTAATTTCACATTTTGTCTTTTCCATTATTTATTTTTAGTTCATTTTTAACTTAAATTACACACATTAATCTCCATAATTTTTCGCCTGCATAAAAACCTTGAATATTGGTGAAAATAGATTTTTAAAAAATCATAATCTTAATAATATAGTTAAAAATTACCCTAAATAAAAAATATTTTTGACTTCAATCAATAATTTTAATTTTTATTATAAAAAGTCATTTGACCAAAAATAATGATTTTAAAAAAATCAAGTGATTCAAGTAATCAAGTGATTAAGTCAAATAAATCATGCCGATGATTAACCAAAATCATACACTAGAGAAAAGTTACCTGGTTTAAATCATCACAGCCAGTATTACTGTCAACCACATGGTTGAATTCGGCATTTTCTGCATCTCTTCCTGGAATCTCACTAGCACTTTTTAATGGAAAGGAAGATTGCTCCTTTACCTTATTAACATGCTGCACATCAGGGTTTAAATTATCACCTATATTTGAAATTGCATGATCAGGCTTTTTAAAGTTGCTAGGAATTTTGTCTCTCTCAATCCTATTTAAGTTAATTTGATCATCCACATTAGTGTGGCATTCACCGAACCGCTCAGGTTCATTGATATCAGAATGAGTGTTTTTGTTCCAAGTAGTAGATTCTTGTTCTTTAAAGTGGACGTAATTTCTGTGAGAAGGTTCCTTGGTGTTTCTCTGAGAGGACATAAAGTTAGAAAGACATTGTTCTGCGTTTCTATTTTGGCTAGACCGTACAAATAGGGTTTCCTGAAAACAAAAATTACACACAGATCATAATGCACACCAGTTCCAGTTATTCTAGATTTACAGTATAAAGGAAACAGGTCATAAGAATGAGATGGCAAAGAAAAAGAAATATATTTTTTTTTAAAGAAAGAAAATGTGTTTAAGGATTAAAAAAACTATTTTGATTTACAAAATTTATTAAAATATAATAAGTGAATTAAATACCTCTAATTCAGCAACATTAAAAAGTCCTAATTACCCTGAGCTCAAACTTCATCAATTTATAGATATTAAAAAGTTCATAATGGAAGATTTTTGAGAATGTAGTTATTTTTTTAACACTTTTTGAAAATTAACCAAATTTTTTTTAAAAAAAAAAAAAACTTAAGAAAATTACGGAATATTGATAAAAAAAAAAGGGGGGGAATTGTAGATTTCTGGTAAAATCTCAAGCCTGAAGTAATAAAAACACAAGTCATAATACTAATATGTACCATAAAATTTCAAATATTTTATCAAACTTAAAACTTAGTTTTATCACACATCTACATATTTACTAAACAAAGTCAACTTAAAATAACTACTAACAATAATTTTAAATATTTCTAAAGAAATATTATTATTCAACATTTTAATAATTTCAATACCTTTTTTAAACTAGATCTTTAGAGATGAACACCATTCTGAATATTTCTCATTTACAAATTTTGAGAGTTATAAAATATATGTAAAATATTGTTTGAAATCTGAGCATTTTGGAGGAAATACACCGATCAATACAAAATGATGTAACATGATATACATACATACAAAATCACTAATTTCATTGTCAGTTTTTTTAAAACCTTACTTTTAAACTTAATTCTTCAAATGATGTAAAATATATTCATGACATTTTTATATTTAATAAGATTACAGGCAATCCTATTCTTTGTCATATAAAGGATTTCAATTTTAGATACATTTTTTGATTCTTAACAGAAACGGATTTTAGAAGTTCTTAAAAAATCTGGATATAAAGTTATCCAACAAATCAAGAATTTGGAAAACACTAATAAATTGAGCCCGGATTTTGATGACCTAAAAAATCTCAACTAATGCCCTTAAAAAGTGCAAAAAATGCCCTTAAAAAGGGCAAAAGATGCCCTTAAAAATGCAAAAATTACACAAAAAATGCCTTAAATAAAGTAAAATATTGAATTAAAAAAATGTTTTGCTCTTTAAAATTATCATGAGTCATTTAAAAAATATAAAGCAATGCAATACTTGTTCTACGTTCACTAAAGTTTGAAAAATATGTTTTATATCCTAAAATAACAAAAANTTTTTATTGAATGAACCATAGAAGGGAGAGAAGTTTCTTTTGTTATCTATCTTAACAGAGAACATGAATAGATTTCCAAAAACTGTCTGTGCGCATGTTCCATATTATTTAGGCGAGGCCATTTGAGTAAATTATAGTTAGAGCACATATCATTTTTAAGTTCGTTTGGTGCTAAATTTTATCAGCATGCCGAAAAGGAAGGATTTGAGTCTTAAAGATAAATTCGAAGTGTTGCAAAACTATGATAAGCTTCATAAATGTAGTCAACGTGAAGCTTCAATGGAGATGGGGCTCATAACTGTTTCAAAGAAGTGATCAGCAAGGAAGAAAATGAAATGGACGAGAATTTTTCACGTTACGTAGCTATTGACAATAACCTGCAAAAATCAGGAGAAAAATCTGATTCTGAAATTGTTACAGACATCAAAAATAGCAAAGTTATTTTCCATCAAGAAATGGAGGAATCAGACTCAGAAGATGAAATAAACTCATCAGTGCCATCTTCAATGGAAGTCAGAAAAGCACATAATGTATTGCAGCAAGCTTTAGAACAAAGAGGAGGAATATCGAAAACTATAAAAACTTCTATAAACTCTCAAATGTTGAAAAGTTAACTTTAAATACTGCAACTCAAGCAATCATTGATCGTTTTTTTTGCAAAACTTTTGTAAATTTAATCTTATGTAGGGTTTTACTTCATTAAAATAATTAAATTAGTTAAAATAAAGCATTAATGTGGTCATTATTTCAGCTTTTAAAGTGTGTACATTTAGAATATATCGTTAAAAAAAAAACTTTTTTTTCAAATGTCGAATCGCCTCTTAATAAAATCAGCCGCTTAATAAAATCAAAAGAGCATAAAACGAAATTGATTTCAATAAACGGCGGGCACTGTACTGATAAAGTGAATAAGAATAGTCAAATTTTCTATCACTTCACACTAAAAATCCCATTAAACTTATGTATCATAAAAAAATGCATGCACTAATTTTACATTTTAACCCATTTCATGAAACTAGTTAAACTAAATGCATCAGTAAAAAAAGCATAAATTTCAAAATTTTTAAATTGAATTAGAAACTTCTATCAAGTCCCTTTTTAAAATCCTTGGGGACAATCTCATTTTTTTTCAATAAAAACAAAAAATCTATACCATACTGGAGAATATCAAAAGGAATACAAATAATTAGCTATCTAAATATTCTAATCATATGCTTAATTTCAATTTAGAAGTGCAATAATGAAACAATGATAACAAATCTGAAGTTGCAAAGTGAAAAAAACAATAAAATGATATTCAAGTAGTGATAGGGATAATATAAGTAATAAAAAAATCAAACCTGCTGTTCAGAGGAGTTATTATCAGTTGTTTTAACTTGTTTAGAAGATTTAGGTTTGTAATATCTATTCAAACCAGACTTTTTTCTTAAAAATGGTCGAACTGGTTTCTTAGAAGGTACACAAGGGAGGTCACAGTTTGGATCAATAGCTTTTGAAGCTTCATGGTTTGGTTTTTTCACTGATTTCTTTAATAAAAAAAATTGAAACATTCTTAATATTGATAAGATACATTATAATTTAAAACAATAACTAGACAATTCTAAATAAGGTGCAATATATCGAACGTTAAGGCTGTTTTTATGTTGTATGACATAAAATTTACCTCAATATTAGTTTTGGAGACAGCCGGACTATTTTCGGTAGAATCATTAAAGCAACGCAATATGTGGCCAGTAACTGAAGAATCGACAGTGGTATTTGAATTTTCAATAGACTGTAACTCAGTAGCATCCAAGTATCCTATAAAAGCACAAAATAACATTATGAGGCTTTATTTTCTAAATCTTTTTTAGTTTTGAAATTATATATTAAAATCAACATTCACAAAAATAAAAGTCTTAGTGATTTGTAAGAGAGATATACTATGATAAAATATACTTTTACAGATAGGAAAACTAAAGTTAAAAAAGCAAATAAAATAATGAAAAAAAATTATATAGATTTATATATTTTTTGAGAATCATAATTCCATATTAAGTGTGTTTATGAGTATGAATGCCTCAGACATGATGAAGATTCAGATATAAAGATTTTTATACAAAGCTAAAGTGATGTTGAAATCATTGGTATGTCACACGTACAAAAAAAAGAGAAAGAAAATAAAACGGTAAATGCCTTTATGTTGACTCATAGGCTGTGAATCTCCTGAACGAACCATGGCTGATTTCTCCCACGGCTTTGGAAATTTTTGCTTTTCTTGAAATAACTGAAACTGTTCCTTTCGCCACTGTTTAATACCATCTAAATCTTCTAAAAAAATTTATAACATAATTAGATAAGAAAATAAAATTATTCACAAAATTATTAAAAGAAGTTAATTTTGCTGAACTAAAGCATAAAATTAACAATAATACAAAGTGTAAAAAAATGTTCCTCATTGAAAAGCTAAATGAATGAAGGTTTTAAGTAATTTTAGGGTCGTCGGGCTACCGAAGCGGGGGTGCCATCTCCTCCGCAGAGGATCAAAATTGTGATGGCATGTCTTCGGATCATCCTCCGGGATGTTTCCCAGACCGTCGCCAGTAGCCCATTGTGCAGCTCTAGTGCGACGTAAATTAGCAACAACAACAACAACAAGTAATTTTAGATATTAATTTTATTTTTAATTACATTTCCTTTTTTTAAAAAAAAATTAATCCATTTAAAAATAAAATAGAAACAATAAGTAGCAACAATAACTAGTTTTTCTCTTTAAATCTATGATATTATAGTAAGTCCTAAGCAAAATAGGAAGCCTACTTTAAAGCTATTGAAATGGGGGAGGGAACTCATACCTACAAACAGGGTTGTAAAAATGCTGCTCCCCCCCCAGAAAAACCAACCCACAGATTTTTTTTTTTTTTTCCAAGAGCTTNTTAAGACACGGTTCCCAGCAGATCACCGAAGTCAAGCATCACTGCCTACGGTCAGTGTGCGAGTGGGTGACCACTTGGATCAGTCTGCGTAGTGACCGAGGATGTGCGGTATTGGTCCTCGTTAAACTGTTCTACCGTAAAGAGCTGAACCTCACTTGCAGGCCGTCGGGCAACCGAAGCGAGGGTGCCATCCCCTCTGCAGAGGATCAAAATTGTGATGGCATGTCTTCGGATCATCCTCAGGGGTGTTTCCCAGACCGTCGCCAATAGCCCATTGTGCAGCTCTAGTGCAACGTAAATTAACTATAACTACAACTTAGTGATTTGTAGGAGAGATATACTATGATAAAATATACTTTTACAGATAGAAAAACTAAAATTAAAAAAGCAAATAAAATAATGAAAATAATTATATAGATTTATATATTTTTCGAGAATTATAATTCCATATTAAGTGTGTTTATGAGTATGAATGCCTCAGACATGACGAAAGTTCAGATAGGAAGAATTTTATACACAACTAATGTAATGTTAAAATCATTGGTATGTCACATGTACATTAGAAGAAAAAAAAAATGCCTTTACGTTGATTCATAGGCTGTGATTCTCCCGAACAAATCATGGCTGATTTCTCTAAAGGCTTTGAAAATTTTTGCTTTTGCTTTTCTTGAAATAATTGAAACTGTTCCTTTCGCCACTGTCCAATACCATCTAAATTTTCTAAAAAAAATTATTACATAATTAGGTAAGAAAATAAAATTATTCACAATTTTTTTTTTTTAAAACAGCTAAATGAATTATTATTTATTAAAAGAAGTCAATTTTGCTGAACTAAAGCATAAAATTAACAATAATACAAAGTGTAAAAAAGTGTTCCTCATTGAAAAGCTAAATGGATGAAAGTTTTAAGTAATTTTAGATATTATATTTTCTTCCTTTTTTAAAAAAATTAATCCATTCAAAACTAAAATAGTAACAATAAGTAGCAACAATAACTAGTTTTTCTCTTTAAATCGATGATATTATAGTAAGTTCTAAGCAAAATAGGAAGCCTACTTTGAAGCTATTGAAATGGGGGAGGGAACTCATACCTACAAACAGGGTTGTAAAAATGCTATTTTTTTTTTTTTTTTCAGAAAAACTAACCCACTAAGTTTTTTTTTCAAGGGCTTTGGCTTTCTTTTTTAAGGGTTCAAAAATTGGTCTTTTTCAAAATAAATTTAGTTTTTCATAGTTTTCTTTAATTCTTGATATTCTTACAGTAAGCCTTGCTGCAAGAATAAATACAATTAATTTGACTAGTGATTAAGCCATTAATGACTATAACTATTAATACATTTTATTATCAATGTCATTTACATTGATAACTTAGCAATATTTTTAAAGGCAGTAATAGAATTCAAATATCTCTGAAGTTACCTATTCTGTTTTGGAATTATAAAAAACTACTAAATGTTAAAGAGAAGAAATAATTTAATTTAAATGAAAAACATCAATTTCCAAAGTAAATTTTTAACATAAAAAATGTATTTATGCAATATGGCATTGCATTACTTTCTCAATGTATTTTTATTTTTTATGTACAATAAAAGAGATCTTCTAGAATAAGCTCCAGCATTTCAATAACAAGGAAAAGATCAGAACAAGAATTCTAGAACATATATTTCACCAGTTAAAAGGTTCTAACATATAAAAGTATCATTTGAAACAATATGTAATAAGACTCACAGGATCAGAAAATAGTATTCAAATGTATTTTTATGAATAAATAAGTTTCCCATTTCCTTGAATTGTAATTCTTAAAATATATAATGTATTATGTTATAACAGTAGTTTCAATAGTATTGTGAATTAGTATTTCCATTTTTTGTGAGAATACCTTGGGACATAATTCATAATTTCTAATAGGAGTTTTTAATAAAGTTGATTAAAAAATTTAAAGCACAGAAAATAAAAGTAATGGAGAGATAAATACTTCTATGTATGTAGTTTATATTTTATTCTATTATAAACTTAATATTTAGAGTTGATTAGGTTAATAATAAAATGCAATTATGAAAAAACCCACTTGAATCTGGCTGGTAAAATCATAAAAACCTTGACTATAATATTTATATTTGAAAATTTAAAAGTTTTTTTTTTTTAAATATTATAATATATCATAATATTATTTAGTAATATTATTATAAAATTATATAATAATATTATTTTAATAATATTAAAATTATAATAAAATATTATAATAAAAAATGCAATTTGAAATGTTCATGAATGTTTCACAATTTTCATCTTAAATATTAAAAATGCTTTTCAGTTTACACTTAAAATTGCATAAAATTAATCATTGATTTGAAAATAAAAATTTGGTTATTTAGAAAAGAAAGTTTAGTAATTTAGTTAAAATTCTTAAATTTATTTTATAAAATATAATTTTAAGATTATGCATGTAGAAGTGAAATTCATATTAAACATATCCATTGATAAGTACATTTAGCATACTATTTAAAAATTGTTTTCATTATTCATACTTAATAGCATTTGGTCTTGAAAATCAATATGATATTTGAAATTATAAATTAAATGTACAATCTGTACGTATAATACAGTAGCATATAATTTGATTGCAGTATTTCAAAAGATCTTTTTATAATTATAAGATAAAGTTCTTCACTCCTTTAAGTAAAACAGTGAAAAAAACTTCAGTTGTTTGAATTTTTTAAGAAATTCGTTTAATTTATTTATTTTCTCAACCTTCGCTTTTATTTTTATTTATTTTAGAATAATTGATTAAATGATTAAGAACTAAGATTAAAGTTATAAAATGCTTAAAATTTTAATTCAATTCTTGGTATTTCTTTATTGAAAAGAGTTTCTTCCAATTGGGATGTATTGTTAGAGATTTACCAGAAGAGTTAGAAATCTATAGGTTATTTTGATTAAAGGAAAAAAATATAATAACTACATTTGGTTATTCCTTTTGCCTTCTCATACACATAAAATATTCTCCAGATGTTATCAAAATAAACAATTCATTTTGCAAATATATGGTAAAAAAAAAAAAAAACTATTATTGTATAACATTTATTTTTGGTATCTTAATTATTTTGTATCTTATTTAGAAGTAATAAATATCTCTATACGAAATTATGATGTTATCATTCAAGATTTGGCTCTTGTAACACTAAAGAAATGCCTTTTTTATTTATTTGTTTTTAACATTTGCAAATTTCTTGAATGTTTCACAATTTTCATCTTAAATATTAAAAATGCTTTTCAGTTTACACTTAAAATTGCATAAAATTAATCATTGATTTGAAAATAAAAATTTGGTTATTTAGAAAAGAAAGTTTAGTAATTTAGTTAAAATTCTTAAATTTATTTTATAAAATATAATTTTAAGATTATGCATGTAGAAGTGAAATTCATATTAAACATATCCATTGATAAGTACATTTAGCATACTATTTAAAAATTGTTTTCATTATTCATACTTAATAGCATTTGGTCTTGAAATCTATAGGTTATTTTGATTAAAGGAAAAAAATATAATAACTACATTTGGTTATTCCTTTTGTCTTCTCATACACATAAAATATTCTCCAGATGTTATCAAAATAAACATTTCATTTTGCAAATCTATGGTAAAAAAAAAAACAACTATTATTGTATAAAATTTATTTTTTGTATCTTAATTATTTTGTATCGTATTTAGAAGTAATAAATATCTCTGTACGAAATTATGATGTTATCATTCAAAATTTGACTCTTGTAACACTAAAGACATGCCTTTTTTATTTATTTGTTTTTAACATTTGCAAATTTCTTTTAATTTATTTTATATTCTGTAATTTTGAAACAAATAAATGAATTGTAAGATATTAGTAGTAGAAACATATAAACTTTGTACTAAAATGTCATTTTGTTATACTTTGTTTGAATTAATTTTAATTCATAGGTCCTCTATTTAAAAGAGCAATATTTCACACTAATAAGATATAATTATATAACACGGGGAGAGGGAATAATTGGATAATGAGCTGGTCTAACTTTATCCCGATAGCTACTCTTTTTTGAAATAGCCACTGTATAACATACTATTAAGAAGTTTCAGAAGCAACACATTTTATTTCAAAATATAAAATTTACCTTTTCAAAAGAAGAGGCGAGAAAAAATTATAAATACCTAATATTTTAAGGACAGCCTGTGGTTTTTGTGTTGACACACTCATGATTTATGTTTCAATTCTAAAATAAGCAACAAATAATATCAATCCAATATTTAAATACACATTAAAACTTATTTCGCTTCATAAAGTTATAAAAGCAATTATCGTATTCTAGACAGAATGTGATAAAAAAATCTTAATGCATGAAAAAATTAGTTGAAAAAATGAAGAATTTTTCTTTCTGTCAGTTAAATGATAATTTTTTAAAATTTTTATATCATTTTTGGAAAAAAATTGTCTTCTTTAATTTAATAATGATTTGCGATTTTTTTATTTTTATTTCACTGGAACAATAAGGAGAGGTGGAAATATTGAGATTTCGAATTATTGAGAACACATACCAGCAGTTTCCCATGCTAATTAACTCTCATAAATGTTAAAATTTTCATACTGTACTTCTATTAGACATAGATAACGTTTTGAAGATGATAAGATATAATTTTCTCCAACTAGTTGGATGAATTCACAGCATGCAATTTAGGGAATATTTCCGTATTGTGATCAGTAACGCCAACTACAATCACCAAGTTGATTTTAAACGGGAAATATTAAAAAAATAAAAACATGCAGAGGTTTGTCTCCCTCTAATTTAAATGCAGTATAAATCTAGATCCCATAATTAGTTGAGTAAAATAATTTCAACAATTATTTAATAATTATATTATAATAATGTAAAATAATTTNATATATTTATATACATTCTGAAACATTACAAACAAAAAAACAATTAATATGAACCAAATCTTTATCATAGGAAAATATTGTTTATGTTTTAAAATTTTAGGAGCCTAGAAATATTCCTGAAATATTTTCATCACTTCTTTGAATCCTTTACAGGGTATCTGCCACATTTTAGATTTTCAAATTCATGACTTAACATAGTTACTATTTTCTCCGAAAAAAACAGAATAATAAATTTAAAAAGCATTATAAAAACGTTAATTGAAATGATAGGTATTACCAAAACTGTTATACTCAGCATCTTCATATTTATTGATTTTTAAAATTAAAAAGCAGAGTAAACAAAGAGTTGAAGCAATAAAATAGCTGAACAAATAATAGCTGAGCAAATAATTTTCATTTTTACTGCAGAATTATATTCTAAAGATACTTTTCTTGTTCATCAGAAAGGTAAGAAATACTCCTGACTTTTCTGTTCTCGCTTCAGGATGAAAAAAAATTTGCCAATAATCCGCTTGCTTCAGCTAGAATTTTAAATTGATAAAATAAAAAAAATAATTAATAACAAAAATTCTGAAATCACAGAAGTTTAAAAGATATTTCGCTCTAGAAATGATGTTTTTTCTTTCATTCTTTAAAAGTACACCATAATTTATAAAGAACATGATATAAACATTTTATATTTTAATAAAATAGGACTCTGAGAGGGGATTTTGTTACAAATTCAGATAATCAGAACACCATGAAATTGGGGGGGGGGGATTCCATTTTAAAAACAACATTTTCGGAGACCTAAATGCATGACTTTCTTTAAAAAAAATAGTTAAAATCATGACAAATTTTGTTCAATACCAAAATTCATGACTTTCCAGGTGCGCGGATACCCTGCCTTTAATAACAATACAAACTCAAAATAAAAAATACACGGACAGGTCGTACAGTTTTTTTAAAAAAAAGACGAATTTGTTTATTAAATCATGTCTATGAAATCATCATGAACGGAGTCGTATTTCGTTCTTGTTTATAAGTTGAAAATAGCTTATTATATGAAAACTGATCCCTATAGCTAACGAAATTCACCATTTTTTACATATATTCAATATTTCTAACAAAATGATTATAAGAAATTGTTTTAAATATAAATTGTTGCACACAAATACCTTTAAAATGTCATTATTTTTCTGACAGAAGAATCAAAATATAGAACGATCATCAAATTAAAGCGCCAGTAGATAACTCAATTGTTGGTTTCTGTCACTAATTCACCGTGATCACTAAGATATGAATTATTTGTTTTTACTGATCGCACTGGTCTTGAGTGCCGGATTTTTCATAGGAACCCGCAAGAGGAAGTGAAAATCCAATTTTTTCGGTGGCAACGAAAAATAGGTTACTTTTTTCAATCATCGTGGCGACTTTTTCCATCTTTAAAATCACCAGTGTTCGTATGAATATTTGTTATTGCTTGTTTAATACATGTGATGAAATTTTACAGCATGTAATGAATATCAGATCTGTTGTCGTAAGTAAAAATTATTATTATGTTAATCGTACATATTTATTGCATTTGTTTTTTTAACTAATTAATTTTGAAAAGATTGCATAAATGTTGATATATTACGTTCCATAAAACTTAAAATCATTCATGTGTTATTTTTCACTGAGAATGAAATTTGTAATGCATTTATAACTCCCTCTATTAGAAAATTGTTTTTAGATGCTTAAATACTAATAGATTTAATTAATAAATAATTATTATAATAATTATTTATTAATACTGTTATTACATAATTAATGCTAATAAGTTAATTACAACTAAGTGACTAACTACAACTTGATTCGAAAACTTTGGTTTTACTAACTGGTAATTAGATATTAGAAAATCATTTTTCTTCGTTGACTATGTATATCAGTGTTTTTTAACCTTTTTGGTATAATGGACCCCCTTTAAAATTTTTTAAGTCACGGACCACCCCCCTGTGAAAGAAATAATTTTAAAAAACATCAATTATTAGAAAACATTTAATTTTATTATTTTAATGGTATACAAAATTTTTAATGTGAAAGTTGTTGCCCACTTTTCCTCAATAAATTGAATTGAGGAATGGTTTTCGAACAAAGAAATGCGCATATCATGTTCAACATTCAATCGATTTCGATGTTTTGTTTTTATTCTCACTAAAGGGAGAAATCTCGCTTCCCAAAGATACACTGTAGCAAACGGAATTATAGCTGTCATAGCTCGCTTTACAAGCAATTGGTAAGCTTCTCTCACAGAAGACCAGAACTTTCCGAGCTTTTTTTAATCGAAATCAATTTTTAACAGGGTCTTTTTTCTAGGATCAATAAACTCATAATTGGCAAGGTTCATATTATCGATACAGTCAATATCACAAAGATCTTTGTGATATTGACTGTATCGAAAGAGATTCCCAAGTAGCACTTAATATTAGATAACATCAGAAAATCGGTAAAATCTAACGCTATCTTGCACAACTTCTAATATTAGAAAGATACAAGAGGTCGTTGTTTGCTTTGCATTATATAATATTAGATTCTATGCAAACTAATATAATACCATAATATTATTTTGCATTAGTTTTAATGCTATATAATATTAGATTTTGTATTTTCTGATATTATCTTGCGTTGCTTTTTGGAGTAAGCAAGAGGAAGATATGGATGGTAGTGGAGTAATTCGGTAATATAATTTTACTTAATTTTCTGTATTGTTGTGAAGCAGTAAAACATAGAACAATAGTTTTATGTCATTCCATGCATTATTTACTTAGCAATACAGAAATACTACTAGTAGATAAAATTATATTAGCGAATTCTGCTACCTTCCATTTTCCTCCTTCTTACTCCAAAGTATATTTTATGTTCAGCTGATTTTTTTGAATATTTCAAACTTAATTAGGAAATAATATTATATCGCAACTTTTATTGATATTTTTGATTGATATACAAATTTTATATCATTAATAATTTTCAAGTCTTTAATTTTAAAATGTACTCTTGAATTTTTTTTTTTTTTAAAAATGAGCTTATTTTATAAAAATCTCAATTGAATTTGTAATATATAGATAGTTTTTAAAATGCGTAACTTAAGTCATTTGTAATTTCACAATTATCATTCATTATTTATGTTCTTCAGAATATTGTAAATTAAGAAAATATTGTAAATTAAGAAAACCACTCTACATAATTGCTAAGTTAAATTTACATTTTAATTGAGTTGAAAATTTACCTTAACTTTTTTTCTTTCTATATAACTAAGTCATTCATTTCCAAAAATATTAAAATAAAATTATATTTCGAATTTTTAAATTGTTATTTTTTGTAATAACTGAGACAGACAATAAAGAAAATTGAAAAATATTCAAATTATTTACCTGCATAAATTATTTCACTTCTATCACTGAAATTAAATCGAGACATTCTTACGTAACTTTATCCTCTTAGAATATGAAATTTTACTTACAAAACACTCGAAGCAAAACCTTAAGGCACCTGTACAAATATTTTCAGGGAGTGGAAACAAAAAAAGCCTTTATGAATTTTATTTAAAAAAACTTGCAATTATTTGTAATGTAAAAATAATTTTACATTGGGACATTAGAGATTTTTATTTAATTAAAATTTAGATAACATTTAAACGTCAAAACCAAGAAGAAAAAAAAAGCAAATATTGCATTTTATCATTATTAAATTTGTACAAACATTTAATTGCATGCAAGAATAAGACGAAAAAGCATAACATACTTTTTTACTATAAGTTTCCTTTTGTATTGATCCAAATTTGACTACCACCAGTTACTTTTTAAAAACCTTACTGTCACAAAATTTTTCTTTAAAATCAATCAATTCATTGTTTGTATTTCGCTGATAAGAGTTTATGCATTATGAACATAGTAAAAACAAACATAGCATTATAGGAAAACGTCTTGAATGGGACTTTTTTTTAAAAAAAAAGAAGATGCAATCATACATGTTTTCACACAGAATATAAAAGACCTTTCAGATGAAAGTTTAAGCAATATTCTTTTCTAAATTGATTAGGAATTTTTATCGTAATATAAATGTTATTCAGTCAGAAAATTTTTTTTACGGTTATAATTATTTTACAATTATATGATTTTAAACATGATAAAAATAAAAAAGCATAAACTTTTTGTCACAAATTTCAAATGAATAATTATGTGAAAATTTCCAAAATTAAAATAATAAACATAATGTTGATGATGAAAATCCTTACGAGTTTGAGTTATAATAATAATCAGCATTAAAAAAAATTGCTTCCGATACTGAAAGATTAAAAATAACCAAATTTTAAATATATTCAATTGTTTCCATGATACGTAAGCACTATCGACTAAAAATATTTTTTAACGTCATATTTTATAAAATTTTATCAATGCAAATATTATACCTGACAAATCAAATTTTTTTTAAATGTTGAAGATTGTTGTTGTTGACAAAGTTGTATAAGAAATTACACGCTACAGTAATTAAGAAAAAAAAATCCATAATTAGCATAACTATTTCACAGCATAATAATTTTATTGAAAAACAAAACACACTGTAATATAAATTTCATCCAATTGTAAATGCAATACCTTACCTTCATTGTTTGAAATTAACGTCGATAACCTTTTGGTGAAACAAAAGTTAAAAATACTTAATTGTTATTAAATAAAATAATTTTTTTTCATGACTTGAAACTGTTTGATACAGTTTGAGTTTACTCTTCCAATTGTTAGTCTTTATTTATTTGATAATATATTTCCAAGCTGTCATCAAATGCTTTGATGAAAAATTCAGCAACAGTTTGTATGCACCACAAAAAACAGGGCTGAGCTTCACAAGTTTCCCTCTTTCTTCAAACTTTAACATGACATCTTTCTTCAACATGAGGACTTTCCGCCACAGCAGATTTAAAGTGATCCTTGCTGAATATCCACACTGGTTAAATCATTCGCAGTAAGGATTGAACTTAGAATTCCATCAGAGTGTGCAGTTTCCATTTGTAGTGTTCAACAGTTTCTTGATAGTAGATTTCCTTGAAGATGAAAAGCTATACTGAAATTTAAGAAGAAAATAAATTAGATTTTACAATGAAGAACAGAAAAAAAAGAAAACAAATTTGAATCTATTAAACATTGAATATTTATTTGAAACTTTAATTATTTAATTTAAAAATGTTTTTTAGAAATTGTAATATCCTTTACAACGAAATTCAATGGGTAAATTCTGGAATCGATACTAGCGTCAAAAAAATTTCGTTAGTGTCACACAAAAAATAACACAGTGGGAAGGAGATTAACTAAAAGAATTTAGCTCATAAGCGCTCCCAAGCAAACTATCACATATTTCTTTTTTTAAAAAAAAAAATTTAAATTGCAAAACCTTTCAATTTATTTTATTAAACCTGAAAATAACTACTCACTATGTGACAAGTCAACAAAAAGAGTGCCGAAAAGTATTAAATAAACAAACGCTTATTTTAAAAATCGTTTAATTTATAAGTACGTCAATGTAAAAAGATACTATGAGACTTCAAAATCATCAATTTATGGTTGAAAAAACCATATAGAAGGAGAATTCTTTAACAATTTACATATCATACTTCAAAGTTGTAATATATAATATTAAATATATTTTTTCATAACGTTCTCTAAAAGTCAGTATAACTAAATTTTGTCACATTTATTTTTTTATTGTTTAATTTTCAATTATCGGATCACAAATTCATTAAGTTGATTATAAATAATTCATAAAATACTTGGTGAATCCAGTTTTTAAAAAACGGTTAATCCTTTGCTGGGCATTAATTTCATATTAAAAAAGAATAATTACGCTTTTATTAAAATGTAGTAGGGTAATTTCTAAAATATGAAATTAAAACTATAAGTACTGTCGAAGTTATAATTCGAAAATTGAATTAATAAAATTTATTTAAAAATGCTAAACGTTGTAACATAGGGAAAAGTTACACGAGAACATGCCTATTCAATATTAAAGTAAAACTAAATCGCCCGCCAATTGTTGGACAAGAAGATGGTCGTTCACGTGTCTCCATATGAGTAGCATGAGGGAGGGGGGTAGGCTTTTTTTTGTTGATAGAAAACTGTTCCTTTATTTTGATTTTTTTGTATATATGCATATTAATTTTTCATATGAGTGTATATTTATTTATAAATGTATATATATAACTTAAAATAAAGGAACAGTTTTCAAAAAACAAAAAGCGTGCTTCCCCCTCAGGCTACACCTTGGTTTCGAAAAAACAAGGTACCATGTGCAAAA